TAAGAAATCGAGTAAAAGATATATATTTTTTAATTTGAAGAATATTAAAATCTGCCTTATTTTGTTTCCATGGGAATCTGATTGAGAGAATTAAGAGATTTTCACTAGGTTTGGCAATCTTAATTTGGCAACAATATTCCAGGTCAAAATGCATGTAAATAAGGCATATATCCTATATAGAAATAGGTAAAAATTTCCCAACCCCCTAACTTGTCATTTAATATTCCATCGATTCAAGAAGAGATAGAAACTGCCTAGATGGTTCGAACTTGCTAAGAGTTAGAGGACTTTTGTGAAAGATTTTATATGAATAAAATAACCAGATTTGAGGCTTTATTTTATGGTAGACTGTGTTAGGATATCTTAATAGCTATGAGCTGAGGCAGAGATGGGATGAGATGTTGCGAGTTTTTCCCAAATAGTCAATCGAATAAAGAATAAAGAATGTAACAATTCGAATTTGGTGTTAAAATTTATTATTGAATGTATCCAAGTTGGGTAGATAGGCGACATTAAATTCCGTTTTCGAGTTTTTCTCAGACTTTAAAACTTGTAAAAGACCATTAAAACTGAACAGTTTAACGCTTGACTGGATATTCAAGTGTGTTCGGTTGTTTGATAAACCATTTAATATGCATTTAATTGGAGCTCAAAACTGGCAAATCGATGCGTATTGTTCTTGCTAACCCCAAGCCCCACAACACTCCTCCTGCCTTGAAGTCGAAACAGGTGAACCAGGTAAAACGAACGTAATGGACTTCAATGTGGGGCTCCAGTTGTTTCTCTAAGAAAAACAACAAAGGAAATCGCCAACTTGCATTTATCGCTACATATCACAGTGGGCGGGGAAGGGGGAGTAGGGAGTGGGGAGTCGGGGAAGGGACACAGAAACAAAGGCCTCAGAAAGGGGGGGGGTGGGGTGGTTTCTTCTTCTGACATGGCCAGACTTTCCTGCCAAGCACTTGTCTCTGGGCTCAGCTTGACGCTGGCCGACCAACTCTCAGTGAGAGAGGGGTACTCTCAAAGGGGAGAGGGGAATAAGAGAAGGGGGGTTGGGGTTTGGGAGTTGCTTCTGTCGGCAAGGCGCAAAACAATATGTGATGATATGATGCGTGTGCCTTGCGTGTGCGTGTGTGTGCGTGTGTGCATGTGTGTGTGTGTTTCAGGTTGTTTTTTGAGCGCGACGGACGCGTCGCGTTGTTGTTTTGACAACATGCGACCAAGACTCCAAACAGACCACCACCCCACCCCCCTTGCCACCCAAGCGCACACAAAAGAAAATTCAAGCGTCGCATATGTGTGGGGCAATAGGTGGGGCTGGGCGGTATGAGGGCAAGAATATTTAACAGGAAGAAACCAATAAAACCTAATGATATGAAAAAATGCAATTTTCTGAAACTCAAGCAACACACACAAACACACACACGTACAAGAAACACAACAAATATAACAATACGTTGAATATGGAGCCACGTTTACACGGCGTAGAATGGCAGCTGAAATCGCAGCAACATTATGATGATTAACAACAACAGCAGCAGGGGAAGCAATAGCAACAGCTGCAGCTGAAAAGCAAACAGCAACAGCAACATGATCGGTAACAGCAGCAGCAGCACCCACAAGAGAAGCAATAGCAATAACTATAGCAGCATTAGCAGGTGGGAAAACAGCAACAACACAAGCAGCAGCAAGAACTGCAACAGTAGCAGCAACAGCAGCAGCAGCAGCAACATCCTAGATACATTCAAGTAGGCATTTACAGCAGCAATAATATCAGCAACAACAGCACTTTAAGTAGCAACAATCCTACGATCAACAGCAGCAACAGCAAGAAATAATGAGAGAGAGAGAGGGGGAGAGCAATGTCTGAAATATTAGGAATTGTAGGCGTAAATGCAACAGCAACAACAACAGCAACAATGCATGCTGTTAACAGGAGCAGCAACAGCAACAGCAGCAATAGCAACAGGAGCAGAGAGAAAGAGAGAGGGAGAGCAATGTCTGAAATAACAGCAATTGTTGGCGTAAATGCAGCAACAACAGCAACAGTGGCAACTAAAATCGCACTCTCAACAGTTAACAGCAGCGGCAATAATAACAATAACAGCAGCAACATTTGGAGCAGCAACAGTTGCTGCAGTCGAGTGCTGCTGTTAGCAGCAGCTGGCATAGCATAGAGAAAATTCTGAACATTTTCCAAATGTTGCAGCGAATGCAACGAGATGAAAAGGAGAGCTTTGCAATATTTCATCTGAGCTGATGCAGCGAATTTGGAACTGCTGCTGCTGTTGCTTCATCGTGTAAACATTGCGTTGCGTTTGATTTTCCGCTTCAAAAAATCAGAAACATCAGAGCCGTCTTGGCCAAAGATGATGATGATGATGATGATGAAGATAGAGATGATGAAGATGGCCATGTCTTTGGCGCTTCTTGTGTTTTGCCTCGGTGACATGTTGTTCTCTGTTGTCGTTGCCGCTGCTGCTGCTGCCGCTGCTGCTTCTTCTTGCCCGCGTAAGTTGTCATATGTGAAGTTTTGCGCGTTGCTGAATTTTTATATTACGTGCACAGCAACAACAACAACAACAACAACAACAACAACAACAACAACAGCAGCAACAAAAAGCAAAGCAAATAAGGAGAAAAAATAAAAATACACAAACTTGGCTTCAAAAAGAAAACGACAAGGACGGCAACAGCAGCTGAAGTGAGTGAGAAGCAGACAAAAAAGAACGTGGGAAACGTAACGAAATGAAATGAAAGACAACAACAACAACAGCAACAGCAACAACAACAACAATACAAACATGGCACCCAACACTTGTTTCATGTCCGTCCCCAGCCGCTTCTCGTTTGTGCTGCGCCTGGCAACGTCCACTGCACGTCCCTTGGCCAGGCAGAGGCTTGCTGATAGGGGGGTGGGAGGTAGGCGGGGGGCTTTTGAGTTTGAGGATGACACGCCAGGAGCCAGGCAGCCAGGCAGAGAGGCAGCCATTGCCGTTGCATATGACAATGTATTACCGCTAAACGGAGGGCGAACCGTGCCCAACCGAACTCAAACAACGTCACTCCCCCCCTTCCCCTACTCCCCTCCTACCCTTCTGTCCATCGTAGTCAGTTCACAGGACACAGGCGCAACGCATGTAAGCAATTTTGCAAAGTACTTAGTCAGCATCTTTTTAACCCTTACCACACAGCACACAGCAAGAGCAAGAGCCCAGCCCCCGCCGCCCCTGCGCTGCCTTTGAAGGTGGCCGCGGGGTGACCGTTCGTCAGCAGCGCCCACGCATGGCGCTGCGCAGATACCGAGGGTAATGTTATGTCCTGTCACTGGCTACAGTCAAACGATAAGCCAGACGGCAAACGGCGAACGGCAGCAGAGGCAGCAGAGGCAGCCCAACTAACCCCCAACCCCATCGAATACAAAAAAAAGTACCCCCCCATAGCCACCGCTCCTGCTTAGTGACTGTTTCTACACTACAAGTCGCAGGCCGAGCAATTTTTTAACATTTTTTAACACTGCGTTTCGGTTGACTTCGGCAATGGGGTTTTCTTTCCTTCTGATTCTCTCTGTTTTTTTTTTCTTAACACATATTAAGCAGCAAAAATATTGCCGGGTACGTCGCAGCAGGCAAAATAAAAATAAAAACAAAAACAGGAGCTATGCTCGCGATGACGAATATTGTATACCCTGCAAGTCTTGCAGCCCAAAACTCCAATTTATTTTCTACTCTAAACTGAACATCGAACCAAAAAACAGCCAAACCAAAATCCAAGCATCTACTGCGGCAGACCCAGGCTCCAAAGAATAATTATTCGGGCTCCAATTTTGTCTAGAGATGAAATATAACGGGCATTTATTCCGTAGAAGGTGCAACTATATGTGCAACCTGATGGAACCTGATGATGATGAATCAAAGCGAAAGGAAGGGAGTTTGGTGCGAAACGTGAGGCGAACCATCTTCTACAACTAGATTTTTTATCAGTCCTACCCAAATAGGTATCCAAAATAAATATGGGTTCTCCAATATATGGGAATCAGGGATGACAACAATATGAAATCGTGTATATACTTCCGTTCAATATTTTTAAGCGGTATTCTAAAAATACTCTCGTCAGGAGTGCTCGACTAGGAAAGAGACGAACAGACGAACAGTCATACATGACCAGCTTATTGACCTGATCCAGAATATATATAGGCCTTAAGGGGTTGGATACGCCTCCTGCAGCCTGTTAAATTTGCACGAAACTATCATACCCTTCATACCCATTTTCAATGGACGCAGGGTATTTAAATATATACATATCTAGAAATAGAATTTGCAAAACCATGCCGGAGAGTTTTGGGGCTGGGGCTAGTGTTGCCTGCGTGGCGCGCAGGGGGTGTGGTATGCGAAAAGAGAAGGAAGAAAAAAATGGCAGTGGCCTTCTAATTCAGTCGATAGCCATTCATTGGAAATTCTTGATTGATGCTCTGCCCTTGTCTGCAGCGCGTTGATAAGCTGGCAAAGACTGTGCGGACCACCCGCCCATACCGCCCACACCCCACCGCCAACTGCCTACCCCCGAAGCCAGCTCAGTTGGCAGCACATTTTTACAACTGCTGCGTTGTCAGTTAGTTTTTCAATTTTTCATTTTACATATTTCAAGGATTAGATGAGGCCAACAACAACAAAAAACGGGCATTTCCCAGCTACATGTCGCAGGTTGAGGGCGCAGGGGCAAAAGTGAAATGTGGTTATCGGAAGTGCAATAAATATATTCATATAAACCCGACTTTGACACACACTCATTTTTCCACGCCAGCTCGCCTGTCCTTTTTGTACGGAGCTCTGGTCTGTTCCCGGAGTCCTGCGTACTCGGGATTCACTTAGTCGTTGCAGAGATTTCCAAGAAGTATGTGATAAACTAGAAGATAGATCACATTCAGCTCTTAGATATTACAAGTTAACCTCACTTTTGGTATTCTGTTATAGTACTTGCCTATGCTCATAAAGTGTGTGGTCGGGCGTGCTCGGCTGGCAGATACCCTTTACCCAGCGCGGAATGCCGCCACATCCGCGAGTAATTAGCTATACACCCAAGAAGCTAGTCGGATGTGTCCGGTTGGCAGATACCCTTCGCTCAGCTCTCAGCCGTAAGCTACGAACTGTGCTGCTTTCTCTCCCAGTCCCACACTACAGGAAATGTGTTCTTGATTAGTTTCGGTGTTTATAGTCCGAGCCCTATGCAATTTTCAGTGCTTGAGTATGGCATACGAAAGTGACTGCATATCAAAAAACAAGAATATACCTTTAAAGTGAAGTGAAATGATATATTCTGAATGGCTAATACTTTTTCTGGCCGAATATAATGTCAACAGCTCTCAAAGTCTTCGATGCTGACCAAGAATATTTGTGTATACCTTCGAAGATGCCTCCTATAAAATGGCTTCAAAGTCTAATTGGAGCAGCTATAAAAAGGGTATAAAAAGAAGAAAACTGTTCAGAGTCTATTGTTGATGAAAAGTTTTTTATTTTATTCAAGCAGTTTTTTACCGCGAAAATACCTGCGCTCGATATTTATTAAAAATTTGTACAGGAAGTTCTTACTTGAGCTCGAAATTGTTACCGGGCATGCTGAGAACTCCACAATCGAACGTACAGCTAGAGCACGGAAAGTGTTTTCCTTCTTAGACCTAGACAGGTTCTTGCTAAATTTACATTGTTAACTTTCCAATTTCCAATCAAAAGCCGCGATTGACGTCCGTTAAAAATTAAATAGAATCGTCTGGGCAAATGATTATATATATACATATATATGTATATATATATAAATATTTATATATCTTAGAGCATGTTTCATTGCTTGCGTTTGCATCGATCATCCAATTCCTTAAAATACTTAACCGCAATGTCCCGAGCGGAGTGCGGTTTCTTTGAGTCGGTTATCGCGACAGATCGTGGACTTCCATTTTTGATTCCAGTTCTGTTATTACTTTTATTAATATTGTTATTATTGTTATTAATATTGGTATTAATAATATTCGTTGGTGTCGTCTTGCGTTCGTTGGTCGACTCCGTTTTATAGGGAAAATCGCTGGTGAATGGCTCCTTCCTGGCCTTTTTGGCGCGCATTCCTCTGGAGGCGATAGAATTTATTGATCGAGCATCAAACTTAATCGGTCTGACGGGCTTGCTGCCGAATTCGGACACCGTATGAATCGATTCATCGGATGACTTCGACGTTCCAAGGCCTCGCATGCTCTTGCGTATCTCCCTGTGGCGATCGAGTATCTCGCATACCTTGTCCTCGATCAGCTGGTCCAGTTTGTCCAGCTTGAGATTCCGCAGCTTCTGCTCCAGCAGCACATTCACCGTATTGTTGATCGTCTCGTACATGTCCTTGACCTCCATTAGGCTCGAATCTTGCGACTTTGTATCCGGGTGCAGCATCTCCAAGGCATCCTCGGTGATAAGCGCGAACCGCAACTTTGGAAATCTTTTAGCACTATTTGCCATGGCTGAAAACTAGTTCAATTATATTTCCAAATAGGTGCAAATATGAAAAACAGAAGACTATGAAAATACAATTTGGAAAACTAGTAAAAAGTGAACTTAAAATTTAAAAGAATTTTTTTTTTGCTTTTGCCCTGAAAAATTTGTGTTCTTATTCGATAAACAACAACTATTGTTCTGAGACTCCAGAAATAACTGATGTTACAGAGCGGCTGACCCAGTCGAAAGGTTTCTCAGGGCCTACTCCAAGCGGTTGTCAAAAAGAGCTGAAGCACTGCCCCGAACTCTCATTCTTCTCCCCCGTCTCTCTCTCTCTCCCTCCCTCCTTCCTCTTTCTCTCTCTCTCTCTCTCTGATTGCCTTTGACTCGAGCACTTCCTTTGGGTCTATTGTTTTGGTGACATGTGACAGGCCGTACTTCCCAATATTGGCACGCAGCGCATTGTCCTCAGACTTTTGAGTCGGGGCTGGATAAAAACAATGCTCAAAGCGTGGGGTGAGACCAGTCGTAGAGGAAGGAATGTGGTAAAGCGGCAGTTCCAGAAGTTCGCTTCAAAATCATGTCCGATGACAACTAACAAAAGCTCTTCGAACAAGTCACGTTTTCTGCGCTCAATTAATAAAAACAAGCAGCATTAGCCAATCCAAACACACCGAAGTGTGTATACACTTTGTAAAAGAATTATTTTTTGAAATTATTAATATGTATTATACATATTATACACGAATTCTATATAAAGACCTCAAGTTTTGTGCTCATATCTCACACATTAATACCATTTGCAAAAATCTACCTTATTTAACTGAATTGCACATAAATAATATCGAAAATGACAGAATCGTATCTTTCAAAATTAAAATTAAAATTTTTTTTAAACTATATACAAAGAAACAAAAAGGTTAAGAATGAAATCTCGCAGCAGTTGGTATTGTTCCGTGCTATGCACAGGTTTTTTTTTGCTCGAGAGCTTCCGATCTTGCTTCATTTTATAAAAAATTTAAAAATGAATCTAAATAAATGAAAAAGTTTAAGTATCACACATTATTGTCTTGTAAAATATTATTCTCCTCTAAAACCAAAGCGCGTAAATTCCCTAAAGCGCATTATTATTCATTCTTTATTTTATTTTTTTAACAATATATCATTAAAGAACTCAAAAAATACTATTAAGCATGCCAAGTAATTAAAATTCAAGCGTGGAATGTAAACATATTACTTTGAGAATTCTTAAAGAACATTATAAATATGACATTTACTCACATATATCATAGTCTTAAGTCTGAAAGATGAACTGAAGAAAATTATACGTAAATCAATTCTCAGAAAATCTAGAAAAAACTGGTGTACTTATTTTCTGTGTTTCTTAGTTGGTTTTTATATTATTTTGTATTTATATGGTTGAACCATAAGCGATCTTTGCCCTGGTGTTAACTTATAATTATGTTTTCTTTCGTAACGCCCAACTTACCCAGAATATTCCAAAATAGTACCCAACTAATATGATCTAATTACATGGCCAAGTGCTTAGCTTAATGACCAGGCATAGTTCCCGACATAGTTGTCTTGTCCTTAGCACTGTCTTGAATGGATAACCCGGTCGAGTCTTCGGCTCTGACATGTTCACCTTTACTTCTGGCACTGCTTTTGTCATTGGTTCTGCGGCTGTGCCCCTTGAGTGTAACTTGCATTTTCATTTCCATTTCCTATGCGCGGTGACATTTCGGGGTTATTGTTTGCGATCTCCGGGTCGCCCCTGGTCGCGTCTTTTGACGACTTGTCACAGGCACTTCAGAAAGCCAGGCAGCGATCGCAGCGCAAGACGGCGGCGGCGAGGCCTTCCAGAGCGGAACCTCAGCGACCCATGCCCAATCCCAAAAGAGCCCAAATGCGAAAAAAATCAAAAACAAAAAAAAATAAAAATGAATAATGATAATTTTCATTGACGCAATTATTAACGTTGTGTGCGTGTGTGTGTATGTGTGAGTTGTGGCTGTTACCTGGCAGGGGATCGGCATATGCATTGCGTTTACGGGATTAACTCGATTTACGAAAGGGTTACGCATGCATCCCGCGAACGTCCCAATAACAAAATATGCCAAAGTGTTTAATGTGCAGTACCCGTTCCCATTTTCATTTCCATTTCCAGTTCCCATTTCCAAAATTTGAGTCAATGCCAGGTAGTCGCCAGGTCTCTGTCCTGGTTGGGCATGTGAATAACGCGCAATGAGCGTGCACAAAAGCCGAGCTCCTTTGCCTGCCTAATTCGCGACGTCGAGAGGGCACCGAGCAGCGCGCAGCGAGCACCGAGCAACGGCGAAGGGGGTAGCCGAAGTACTTACAAATTGCGCTAAAAGTGAATTAACCCCGGCGACATCTCCCATCTCCCGTCCCGACCATAGGCAAATGTGTGCTGTCACGATCGCGGAGCAAAGACCAAATTTCTCGAGCACATATGCCGCAGAGATCGAACGTCTGTCAGCTCAACGGGCTATGTTTTTGCGCGTGTGTGTGCATGTGTGCGTGTGTGTGTGCGTGTGTGTGCTCTCTCTAATCAGGACTCGTCAATTATCACTCGCAGGCGCTGCGTTATCGATTGGACCCATCTCTTGTCTGCGCTTTTCGCAGCTACTCCTCGAGAGCGTTTTACGGCCGAACAGCTCCGATAATCTTGATCGGACGATCCGATCAAGTCAAGTGGCCGCCACAAAGTACCATCAATTAGCCAATTTGGCATTGTTAGCTGCAGGCTTTTTCTCGACTGCGCCTTTTTCTGTCGATCAGCTGCCGAGATATAGCCTTGACAAAGGTTTTCGTTTTAAGCAAATGGCGCCCAACGTGAGTCGACCATAGAAAGTGAGCAAAAGTGTTTGATTGGAAATTGTCGATAGTTTTTGTATCTATAATGATAATGGCTTGACATGTAGGAAGTGATAACGTTAAGACCTTATCATTTCTTTTAGACATCTCCCTCGTCTTGCATAATACTAATCTTAATAATAATAATTCTTCAGCATAACTCGACAGCCATTTGCACCAAACGTGGTATGCAGGCGCTTGTGAAGTATATACAAATTAAAATCATTTCAGTTTTTGAATATATTTTCTAGATTGCCCCAAAAATGGCAAACACCTATTTTTGATAACTAAGAAGTCTGAACTTTGGTATAGCGCCATATTTAAGCTCTGAAAATATCATATAGATCAGACTCTGAACAATAGAGTTAATAAAGAATGTATATCTTAGCCATAGTGTGGGGTAAATAAAAGAGGAAGCACAGGCGCTGCATGTGTTTGTATGTGTTTGTATGTATATGAGATAGCTTGACTGTTTGCAAGTACAGCTTGTTGCAGGGTATCTTGTAGCAAAACCTTCCCAACTAGAGCACTCGAAACTCAAATTGAAGATTTGCGAATGAGTTCTATGTTAGCTGAGAGGAATACCAGATCTTCTGCTGTGTATTTTTTCCACCTATAATTGCTCTATAAAATATTTATCTAAGTTAAACTAGATAATACTAGATACTAGACTGAGCTATGCCAACTCTGTCTAAATGTTTCAAATTGAAGATTTTCGTTTATTCGCAGGTTTGTCAAGGTGATTCAACAGCTGTAAAACCTTTTTTATTTCTTTAAAAGGGGACGCACATACATGCTGATTATGGGCAATTTATACAGTGTTCAATTGACAGAGTTGCAGAAAGTTTTCAAGGGGAACTGCTTGGGAAAGGCAGGCGGAAAAACTTGCTGTCAAAGACCATTCGAGGAATTCAATTGTATTCCTTTGGTCTGGGTATTTGTTTAATAATATGGCGAATGTGTTTTGTCTGTCTGTTTGTGTGTTTGATATCGGAGCGCAACATTTATAAATGTAATTGTATAAATGGGCTGCTTATGCCCACACCCCCGCCCACTCAAGAAAAGGGACTGTAAAATGTGCGGTGTGGGTTGGCACAGAGGCCGAGACTTGGGCTTGGGCTTGGGCTTTTGCCCATAGGGTTGCAAGCAATGGCCGTTCGTTCGGCTGCCCGGTCTGCGCTGTCCGTTAGCCATTAGGGGTGGACTACGGATTCGGATACGATTCGAATCGCAATAAAAATATGGCCAGACCCGGGCTGTGCAAGCGAGACAACTGCGATGCGACAACAGGCAAACAACAAATGTGTACAATTTGAAAGCACTTCAAACGGTCGGCCCACAGTCACGCAGGCGACTCCCACCACCACCAGGCAGGAGCACCACTGCCACCACTTTGCCCGCCGCCACCACCAACATCATCTGTGGCAACTCTTCGCCGCGTCGCGAGTCCGGCAGCCACTTCAGGACCTTTACTCCAGTGCCGTCCATCAGCTACGCTAACGAGCTGGCTGCCAGCTCAGACTCAATGGGTACAATCGCGTCGAGGACAACGGCCGGGAGTGAGGGTGGTTAGCTGCCCATTTGCCAACAGCTCAGCTATTGTCCCGGCCACTGTCCGATTTCCCGCTCCAAACAAAAGGGTCAATGCGTACAGCAGAGCTTTTTGGTCTGTGAGGAATCTGTCCTGATCTGGTCTGGTCTCTGGCTGTACACGTTCAACCCCTCGGACAGATTGACTTTTCGCTTGCTCTCTCCTTTTCTCTCTCTCTCTCTCTCTCTCTCTCTGATGCTTGGTCTGTGTCCGTGTTTGTTTGTGTATGTCCACTACGCAATTCCCGTTACCCACCCCGCCAGGTGGCCATTTTGAATTTGGCCAGTGCCCAAGTTACACCTTCCGTGGCTTCACAATTGATTTTAATAACCGCGTTCAGCCATTTGACCAGGTTCAGCTGCCGTTTGCCTTGAATACACGCTGACAACATCATCAGCCATGTGTTTCCATGGGTCTCAGAATGCAAATATTGCGCACAGATACTTTGCATTGAAATCTTTTTCTATTATCGTTTTTTCGCAAGTTTCCAACTTGACTGTGGATCCATTGTAGTCGCAACTTTGTCCGAGACTTGTGCGCTTGCAAAGTACATCATACTTAAATGATTTTCCATATAAGCTCATTTCGCAATTGCAGCATAGTTACCTTTCAGTTATTCCTCGACGCGTGGCATCCTGTAAAGTCTTTCAGCTGACATTTTATTTAGAGTCTGCACATTTACCACAACAAGACTTTTACAAGCGCCATGGCAAGAC